AGGACCTATAGAAATAATCGGAATTATTATGAGGGTAATTTTTTCATTTCAAAAATTTACTTATTTATTTTTATAAAAATTTCATAAATTATATATGTATTAATTTTAAAACTTACCAAACATTATTGCTCATGTAATCTAAACATACAATAATTGTTATTGCTATTGTTGTAGCAATTGTAATTATTGCTGTTATTGTTGCTGTTGTTGTTGTTATTATTATTGGTGATGATGATGATGGTGATGGTGGTAGCAATGGTGGTGGTAGTGGTTTTGTTGGTGTTGTTGGCGTTATTGATATAACTTATTAAGCAGTAAATTTTTTTTTTTTCAATCTTAATTTATTGAGAATGATGTAAAATATGGGAAGAGGTAAAAAGAGATAAAAGTTGCTTAAAGTTTTTGGAATTGATATGAAAGACAGGTTATTGGTGATAGACAGGTTTTGTGGCTCTAGGCTTGTTACAATCTTATGTTTGGGTCAAACGACAAGAAAATACGAAATAAAAGGTCATTTTTTGAGGAACCGGTATCGACCAGAAAGCGTTCCATACTTTCTTATAATAACAGGTCACGGTGACACTGGTTCTTCTTTCAAGGAAAAAAAAAAAAAGGTGAGGTTGAAAAGATTGGTGTTGAGAAAAGTGGGGAGGAAGAAAGAGAGGGGTAAAAGTTTGGTGCATTTATATTACTAAATGGTTGTATTGCAGGTATTGCTGTGCTTGGTATTCATGGTGATGATGGTAGCAGTAGCAGTTTTAGTGGTAGCAATAGTGGTTAGTAGTAGTAGTTGTTGTTGTAGTTGTAGTTGTGAAAGTAGTAGTAGTAACAGAAGAAACAGGCTTACCAACTATCCGGTCCTTGTTCCTCCTCGTTGGCCCGTTTTCGTCGTCGTCGTTGGTTTAGTTTTGGTGCCGCACGGCAAAGACTGGATCGTGACCGCTCCTGCTAGGTGCCTGTTGATGGTGCTGGTAAAGGGCAGGGCAAGTTATCGTCGTTACTGGTCCGGTATCTGGTATCTGTAAGTGTGTAGGTGTGTATGTGTGTGTCTCTGTGTGTGTGTGTGTGTGTGTGTGTATATGTGTACGTAGAAGGGGCTGGTCCTTCTGATCCTCTTCTTCTTCCTTCTCTTCCTCCTTGTATTGTTCCTTCGCTTTTTAAACTGCAAGAAAATGGTAAAAATTCTTGATGAAAGAGTTGCGTATACAGAAGTAGTGTCACCATGTAGTGTACACACCCACACATATACACCCACACATCTACATACTCATACACACACACACACACACACACAAACATATACATTGAATTATCGGAAGAACTCGAAAAACCAGTAATGATTGGTGCTTATGATGATGATGGTGATGATGATGATGATGATGATGGTGGGATGATTTTGGGATGGCCGATTGGAATGGAATGGAATGAAAAGGAGGGCGAACTTTTCAACGACACAAGAAAAGAGGACAGTCGTGAGCGATATTGAAAAAGGTAGAGGAAGAGGAGGAGGGGAAAAGTTTTGAGGGGAGTGTTGAGGGAGGGGTTCAAGGTAAGGAATAGGATGTGAGCGGGGACAGGTATAATCCAAACAACTGTCAACTATTGAATTGTTACATATACCTACTATACCAATCTATCAATCATATTGTTGAATCCATTACTATTTTATTTTCAAATTCCTTGACCATCTTTATTTCTTTTTCCTTTTCTTTCTTTCTTTCTTTCTTTCTTCTTCTTCTTCTGTCGCGCAATACTGCAATTACTGCAATTGGTTAATGTTACTGCAGTACTGCAGTACTAAAATATTAAATTTCATTTATCAGGAGAAGAAAAAAAAGTTAAATTTGTTATGTGCATATGTGTGTGTGTGTATGTGTATGTGTGTGTGTGTGTGTGTATGTGTGTGTATGTATGTCTGTGTATGTATGTATGTATGTATGGGAAAGAACTCATGTCAACATTAACATTTGCGCTATTGCTACTGTTTTACTGCAACTGCTACTGCTATGTCATTTTAGTAGTAGACAAGTTTACTACTGTGTCACATTGATTTCATAAAGCCAAACTATACCTAACTTCTCTGTCCTGTATCCATTTGTTATTGTTATCAAAAATTTTGTAGGCTATTTATGTATATGTCGCCCTATCAAAGTGTATGTATGTATGTGTGTGTATGTGTGCATGTATGAGTGAGATTCGAAATAAAATGGAAGTTGAAAAGGTGGAAAGAAGGCGAATCAACTTTACCTCGATCATCTGTCAAAACTCTCTTCTATCAAACCATCAAATAGTGGCGGTTGGTTGATCATCATCAATGTCGCATGTCGTTGTAATCGTTGCTATCGTTATCGTCAGCCACCGATTCTTCTCATTCTTCATTCATTCATCTGAATTTTCAAAATTCACAATAATACGCACAAGTATTAAAAAGATAATAATAATAATCATAATAATAATCATAATAATAATAATAATAATAATAATAATAATAATAATAATAATAATAATAATAATAATAATAATAATAATAATAATAATAATAATAATAATAATAATAATAATAATAATAATAATAATAATAATAATAATAATAATAATAATAATAATAATAATAATAATAATAATAATAATAATAATAATAATAATAATAATAATAATAATAATAATAATAATAATAATAATAATAATAATAATAATAATAATAATAATAATAATAATAATAATAATAATAATAATAATAAT